CTCTTCATATAGAAATGCATAGAAATATACAGAAATTAAAGTTATTAAATTCTAAATTAAATAGATGAATCCTTAAAGCTATAAAAGTTATTGATTTCTCCTTTGATTAACAGACATAACAGCAGCTGGTTATGTTTATTTCAGCTGCTATAACTTTAAGAGCTTTAATTTTGACATAACTTATGAAACTTGACACTCATCAATTACATAGATTATATATATTGATGCTGTCAAAATTTTATATATATATATAAATCATAAATCTTCGAATATATGAATTACTGTAAAAAATATTGTCCTGGTTTTTACACAAAATATTGAAGCAACTGTTTGCGTTTGGAGTATTTTGAATTTAAAAAGTTGTGTGTGTTTGTATGCATATATATCATTTAATAATATTAATATTGTCTTGGTTTTATCAACAAAAAATTGCATTCGACTTTTGAGTATTTTGAACTGTATTTGACCAATTAGACACCCTTAAGTTATGTCAACAATTCTCCATGTAAACCGAATATATCAATTAAATTAAAGAACATTATAAGTATTGCTTTTTGAGTAAAGCAATAGCTTTCAGGCTCTAATCACCAAAACCCAGATATAACTCGTTTGCTCTTCTAAATCCAACACTAAAAGAACATGAACAAACCTCCTCTTTAATGCATCTTGCTCAAAAACATAATTTCGAATGTTCTTAGAAAAGTCCCATTCAAAGCATGCGTCCCGATTTCTATTTGCACACACACACAACGTGTGACAAAACGTTCAACAATTGTTTTGCATTCGCTCATTTAAATTTAAGCAATTTGAGCAAGCAGCAAAAATGCAAAAAAAACGATTCGTCTAAAAGTGAGCAGTTTGCATAATTGCAGGAATGTTTAAACAAAACCCCTTCAGCGCTTCAGAGTCAAGCCAACAAATGAAGAGTTTACTTTTCTTTTCTTTAGAATTTACAACACCGCTCGGTATTTAAAAAAAATATTTATCATTAAATTAAAGAATTTTCTGCAGGGGTCATTTTTCAACCTGATGTAAATACAATTACAGAACTTACCAGCAGAATAACAGCATGCATTTATGTTGCATTTTACTTTGTCACTGTATGAAAAAAAGTGCTAGTGTTTCTCCCGATTCTTCATCATCTACGCTCCACAGACAAAACAACAGCGTTCAGGTTTGGAGCGCCGTGAGGGTGACTCATTGTTGCGACAGCCAACACAACAAGGCCTCGTTTCAACAAGAAAAGGTTTATTAATTGAAAGACGAGCCACAAAATTAAGAAAACGACACTAATAAGCTAGCCTGAGCTCAAGTCTGAAATATTCAGAAAAAACAAACTACATGTGTCTTGGATAATTCCTATATTTCCCCTCGTATCGACACACTAAATGTTAATATATCATTTTATAAATATAAAAGCTCCCCGGTTTTGTTATCCTTCATGTAAAATACACAATACAAATCACTCTACACATATTAGTAAGCTTTTACCAATTTTCAAAGGATATAATTTACTAAGAGGTAAATTGGAACAACACACAAAAAAGAAAAAAAATACATGTGTACTGTATATGTAAGGTACATCATCCAAAACCATAAAGAGAGAGCGCGGGGGGGGGAAATATCACAATTTACACGTTCAAACATATCTGTCATTAAACTGCTTTAAAGTAAGGGACTGTAAATAAATATCCTTCCATTTTATCTCAATATTTACATCTAGGACTTGAGTTCTGAGTTTTCTCAGAGTACCACGATGCTTGTGCTTGCATTTGAACGCTACAGCAGGCCACGACTCACTACGTAAACAGTCAAATGGCACTTAAAATAAAATCTTTAGTAACTGGTCGTAACACAAAAAAAAATTGACTTTCACAGATTGCACACGTAAATATAAACCAACATCACGATTATCAGAAACTCGGGACGCACGCGTCTGACGGAATCTCTTCAATTGAGCTGCAACGATCACGATGGTTTTTACTTTAAACGTTCATTGAAACTAAGATTCAAAATACATTTCCATTAAAAAAAAAAGATGCATAAAACAACATGAAGCGGCTTCTGCGCACACAGTCGCTCACTGAAAATAACGCCGTTTCCAGTTTCCAACTACAATTGTCCAGTGTTTTCCACAACAGTACAGCAATTTACGACCGGTCCAGAATAAAAGTTATCTGTAAGGTAGTTGTACCTCCTGAAAGCAAACAGCCGACTTCATCCTTAACTTCACTAACGATGCCGTGATCTCCTGTCCATCAGGGTAACATTTCACAGTAATTAAACCGCAAACAAACAACAACAACAACAACCTAGATCTATTACTAAATGAAACGCCATCGTCTAAAAAAACAAAACAAATAGTGCTATCAAATGATTAATCGCTTCCAAAATAAGTTTTTGTTTACATAATATATGTGTGTGTGTACAGTGTATATATATATACACACACACACACACACACGTGTTTAGTTTATTTGCAAAAACAGATAACAGATTGTGTTAGTTAGCTGTATTTTTTTTTACGTTTTTACTTTATATCAAAATAAACCACCAGCAGTTTGATTGAGATTAATTGGAATACACAATGAAAAAACATGGTTTTTGAAAATTGTTAAAAACAGTTATCTGCAAATAAACTCTTCATATATATATATATATATAAATGAATACACATA